AAGCAAGCTGATGAGTAGTCCTGTGTTGGGTTGGGGGCTGGCTGGCTCGGAGGGGTTCATTCTAGAGAATTCTGGCTGGGCTGTTTCACTGGGAAATCCCTGATGCCAGCCTACATAGGTATTCTTTTCTTGGCCCATCAGACTCCAGGATATTTTTGGAGACCCTGTGTTTTATTCTCTCTGGAGAATAAACGTTCAGCCTTTGTCAGGGTGGGGGAGGGGCGGCCGCCCAGCTGTGGGAAGAAGGAAATCTGAGGATTAAAGCCCTTCTTACACCAATCCTCCTGTTTTGGGCCCCAGCTCTACGCCCATTTCCAGGAGTACTTAGCCCACTAAAGCTGGAGGCTTTGGGGGTTTTGTGTGGTTAACTGTGGAGCTCCTTGTTTCTCTCACTCCCAGTTTGGGGCTGGCTTCAGGTGCATCATCATCCGGCTGGGAAATCACTTACCACACGTTCATCTGCCATCCAGATTCAAAATTTTGTCGTTGTTGTCTGCTGTGAAATGTATCAGTTCTTGCAGATTCATACTGTCCTGGGCAGAATGACGCCCCCCCGGCCCCCAATGTCTGTGTCCTAATGCCCAGAGCCTGTGAGTAGGTTACCTTACCTGGCTCAAGGGGACTTTGCCGATGTGATTAAGGTTAAGGACCTTGACGTGGGGAGAGGATCCTGGATTATTCAGGTGAGCCCAATCTAAGCACATGAAGCATAAAAAGCAGAAAACGTTTCTTTCCCAGCTGTGATCAGAGAGATGCTATCATGCTACCTGCTGGTGGGAGGGAGGGAGCGAAGGAGCCACAAGCCAAGGAGTGCAGGTGCCCTCTGGAAAAGGGCACCTCGGAAAAGACTAGGAAAGGGATTCTCTTCTAGAACTTCCAGAAAGTTCTTCCAGAAAGAGCTTCCTCGGGCAGCCTTGTCGACACCTTGGTTTGAGCCCAGTGAGACCTGCGTTGGACTTCTGACATACAGTCTGTAAAATAATACATTTGTCTGGTCTTAAGCAACCAAGTTTGCAGTAATTTGTTACGGCAGCAAACCCAGGACTCAAATGCATACCTTAAAGCATTCACTCGCTTCCTTCCTTTCGATGGGGTTTCAGAGAAGTTAAATGTGTTGTGTTCATTCTGCATCCTAACCAGCCGGCTCCACTCACACCTGCTTCTGTCTCCAACCCTTCATGAAACGTCTCTTCTCCAAGTCACTTTCAACCTCCGTGTTGCCAAATTCGTTCTCTCTTCCCTTGATTGTTTGGCATCTTTGAGGCCAGTTGTCCGCTCTCCCTTCTCCTGGAGATGCTCTTCTCTTGGCTGCTGATGTCTCTGACAGTCTATCACCAGCCAAGGGTCTCCCCCTTTGAGCCCCAGACTTTCAGGATCAAGCCCTCACTTGACATCATCGTTTCTTGGCCAGCTCAAGGGCTTCTCCGTGGCAGTTGAAAACAGCCGTGGCAGAATTCTTGAGTTTCTCACCGCACCTTCCCTCCCCTGAGCCTTCCCATCATCCATGTGTCTCTCCCACCCAGAAACCTCAGATTCATCCTCCATTCCCTTCTTCCTTTAGCCCATCAGCAAATTCCATCTCCTAAATATACCTAGGAGACATCTGCTTCCCCATCTCCAAGGCCCGCCTTGGTCCAGGCCACCGCCATGGCCCTTCTATCTTCACATGACCTCCACACTGGTACCCTGTGTCCACTCTGTAAATTAGCCTGTTCCTCACCTCATGCCACTCTCCCCACTATGTACTCTATGCGAGCCGTGCTGGCCAAACTCTCGTCTGCCCCTGGGCCTTTACACGTCTGTTTTTCAGGCCCGGGATGCTCTTACCCCCACTCTGCCCAGCTCCTTCTCATTCTTTAGCTCGCAGATGAAATATCCCCACCTCCCCTATTCACCTTATGCAAAGGTGGTGTCTTCCCCACCATCCCTCTGGTTATTTCCTTAACAGTGGGTTTCGATCATATTTATTTGTTTACTTATGTTTTCTTTGGCTCCCACATTGGCTATAAGCCCCACATGCACACAGAAGGTGTTTTCACCTTCCAGTCTCAAGTGAACTTTGTGGAATGAATGAATGAATGGACAGACGGGCACACTGGGCACCTGTTATGTGCCAGGTGCTTTCACATATTTCAAATATTTCATTTTTACAGCCCTAGGAACTTGTCACAGTTGGACTACATTTCCCAGGGTTTTTGTTTTGTTTTGTTTTGCAATTAGCCGTTCTGGCCAATAAGTGTGGACGAGGTAAAGTAGGCCACTTCCAGCTTTGGCTCGTAAAACCTCACATGCAATTCCTGTGCTCTTTCTTCTTTGTCTACCAGTGGTTGCAGAGAATCCAGCAGTGGATCCTGAAGCCCTGGGTGACAACTGCATCACAAGGTGGGAGGAGCCTGGGTCCCCGAAAGACTGAGCAGGGGAAGAGTCTCCCCGACACCGCAACCCCCCTAGAACTTTGCAGAGGCAAGACGTAGGCTCTACTGTGTCAAACCACAGTGATTCCCAGGCTTATTTGTTACGACAGCTGGCGTCGCCTTAATTAATACATCAAAGTGCCAGAGGTAGGTGGCTGGGAAGCAATACTGCGGGTGACAAGCCTTCATCCAATGCAGATGTCTTGCATCATCCCCAACAGAAGCCCCGGGCTCTCCATGCTCACACCTCAATTACAGCATGTCGCCTGCGTGCAGTCGGTCCGGTGTGTGCCTTCTTGTCCTCACTGAGTATGGCAGTGGCTACTGGGAGTGAATCTTGGTGCCTTCCAGGGGCTGGAGGAGGGCTGAGAGCGGTGTGGGTGGGGGACACTTTCTCTCAGCCCCTAAGGGGACCCTACCAAACATCACTGCTCACTTGCCCCTCCTACGGTAGGAAAGAAAGATTCCAGAGCCTTCCCTCCCACCCGCCCCAGCCTGCAGCCTGAGTGTCCACATCACTCAGTATTTTTAGCTTCACCACCTGGCACCTGTGGTCACTGTCGGCCAGCCTGGTGGTGTCCCCTCTCTGGGCCTTAAAGGGCCAGCGCCCACCAGCTGGAAAGAAGACTTTCAGGCCACTGTATCCCCAGGGCAGGAGGCAGAGGGGCATCCCCCATGGCAGGGGGAGGAGGGGAGGGGCAGAGGGAAAGGGAGAAGTAGGCTGCCCACTGAGCAGGGAGCCAGACTCTGGGCTGGATCCCAGGACCCCGGGATCATGACCTGAGCTGAAGGCAGACGCTTAATGGACCGAGCCACCCAGGTGTCCCAGGAGTGTGTATTTTTTGACAATCCACTCAGATGATTCTGGTATCCTATGTCCCCATGCCATCTTCATTCATGCAACAAGCATTTTAAGCCCCTACTATGAGAATAATGCTTCTCTCAGGAGCCCATTGCTTTGGGACGCATGGATAGTCGCACTGAGTCTCCTGCTTTGGCCCTCCCCATTGCTCACTCCACCGCTGATGGATTAAGTCCTTTGCTCGGCAGTCAAGGTGCCTTGTGACCTGGCCCTTCTGGACCCCGCCAGCCTCATCTCCCCCCATCCTCCTACAATTTCTTTCTCATACCACCGGGCCTTTGCTCCTGCTGTCCCCACTCCCTGTGATGCTTCTTCAATGTCACTCACCACCTGGGGGAGGACCCGGACAGTAAGACAGACGTGGCAGGCCTCCTAGGGCCCCTGCAGGCACAAGTTGTCCATCTTCCCATCCGATTCCCTGAGCACAGTGCACCCACGCCCGTCCGGGTGCCCATCACTCTGCCAAACTCATCTGTTTGCTTGTCTGTCTCTGCTGGCAGGCTGTGACCCTGTGAAGGTGAGGGCCCTGGTGCTCTGGGGGGGCTCAGTCACTGCTGAGTGATGAACTGACAACCACGGCAGGAGCTTTCTCCCCATTCCACAGATGAGACAGAGGCCCACAGAGGGAAATTTATAGACTGGGGGTCCAACAGAGAAATTCAGGGAGGAAGCTGGTCCAGGCTGCAGGAACCCCCACCCCCCACCCTCCTGAAAGGGGCCCGGAAGGGGCGCCCGGGTCAGCCCTCAGCCTGACTTTCTCCCCACCCAGGGTAGTGCTGACTCAGGCAGTGATGGAGGCATGGGCAGGCTGGGCTGGAGCAGAGGTGACCCCTGTGTCCCCTGCAGACTTGCCATCCATTCCCGGAGCCTGTGGTCACAGCTTGGGTAATGCACTTGGCTGGAGCCTGGGTTTCCCTGCAGGTGGGGGTGGGGAGAGCTGGCAAAAGGGACAATGGCCCCTGGGGCATGAACCCTCACCTACATAGGTACGTAGGGCTTGCACCCACTCCCACGAACACGTATGCACATTCACAGTCACCCCCACAATGCTCAATCACACAGCCACACAAACCTACATTCCCACCCTGTCACTGTTCTCTCCCTTTTACACACACACACACACACACACACACTCTCTCTCTCAAGCATACACACACACACACACACTCGAGCATATATACACGCAGACATTTTCCACCGAGTAATTCAACAAAGACTGAACATGATTAGGTGTCAATGCAGTGCAGGGAGGAAAGGTGGCTCTCAGCTCAGAGTGGGGCGGGGGCTTCCTGGAGGGCTTCCTGGAGGAGGAGACATTGCCGCTGAGCCTGGATGGACCAGGGAAAGGGAGGTCTGGGCAGTTTCACTGGGGGTGAATATAGGGGAGCAGAGCACAGTGAGGTGGGTGGGGTCAGCCCAATCACGCAGGCCTTGAACGCCCAGCCGAGTGCCGACTTCATCCCGGGGAGCGGGGGATGGAGGGCCATGGAGGGCTCTGAGCAGGGTGGGTGTGAGCAGCACAACAGGAGAGGACGGGGAAGGCCCCGTGGGACCAGAATGGGAGAGCCAGGCAGGAAGCTGTGGTGCGGGCCGGGTGTCTGAGAGTCTGACTCGTGGAGGTGGCCGTGAGTGGTAAGCAGAGGACCGACAGAGAAGGGCCCCGGGTCTGAGCCCTGTGCCCTCAGCCCGCCCACCCCCCCACCCCCCTCCCCCGGGCCACTGACCTCTGCGGTGGGACCTCTTTCAGCATCTCCTCCTCCTCCTCTCTGTGGAAGCACACGAAGCAGAAGGCTGGCCCATCTTCTGCTCCACAGCCCAGAGGCCAGGCTGGAGGGAGTTCCAGGACGGGGCAGGGGTGGCTGCTGGGGGCCTCGGCCGCATCGTCCCTGGCCTGGGCAGGGGTGTCCGAGCCAGAGCGCTCCAGGGTCAGCAGCCGGTTGGCCTCGGGGCCCCGCGCCTGCCCACCTGCCGCCTCTGCCTTTTCACTCAGGTTCCCCGTGGCCTCGGCGGGGAGAAGAGCCTGTGGCTCTGTCTGATGGGGACTCCTGTCCTGGCCCACGGGGCTGGGTCCTGGGAAGCGGCTTCCAGGGAGCCGCCCACCCTCAGAGGTCGCTGGCTGGTAGACCAAGGTCCAGCAGGGCCCCTGGCTGCCCCTGGCGGAGACCTAGGCCCCCTGGCTGCCCACTCTGCGGCGGCCAGTCAGAGTGGGGACTGGGAGGGCAGGCTCGCAGATGCGCTGTCCATCCGCTCATCTGTCCGTCTGGACGTCTGCTTCTCCCTGTCCGGCCAGCACGGCGGGCGGCCGAGGTGGTTTCCCCTAAGAAAGTTTGTTCTGCCCTCCTGGGGTGGCTGGCGTGGGTGGCCTCCAGGAGAGAGGGTCAGGACCTGAAGCTCAAAGGTGGGTGAAGCTGGCACCGTGCCCACGCCGTCCCTCAAGAAAAGTTCGGGCCCTCGGAGTCCTGGCTCTGGCTTGGCCGAGCTTGCTCCCCCGGCCGCCTGCTCCCCGGGCTGCCTGATCCCTGGACTCCGGTGGCTGCTCTGGCAGACCGCTTGGCTGTGGGTATTAATAGCTCTACATTCACGCTGCGAAGCCTGGAGCTTAACTCCTTCCCTGCCGGAGCTGGGAAGGCCGGCGGGGCTGGCAGCGGCTGCAGGGAGCGGAGGGAAGGGCGGCGCCTCAGGTCCGGCCCCAGCTCCGTGGGACCCTGAGATGCCACCGCCTGCCCAGCTGGCTCCGAGGAGCACTGGGCGTCGGGACCGTGGTCAGAGTGCCTGGGCCACCTCAACCCTCCATAAGCACCTCCAGGGAGCCAGGTAGGACTGGGGGGCCCGGGACAGCACCCCTGCGACGGACGGGGCTCTGAGCTCCAGAGAGCATCTGCTGGACGCCTCCACTCACACGTCCACCCCTCAAGCCCCTGGATCCTCCCACCGCATTCCCTGAACAGTCACCGTCGCTGACTCTGGGTCCGGTTCCCTGACTGGACACCCCCCCACCCCCGTGGGACCCAGAGATCGGTTACATGCAGTCATACATCCATTTGAGGAGTGTGGGAATTGGGTGGGAGTGAGGGAACCCGGATAGAATTCGCTTGCTTGAGAAATGTTGGGAGCATCTATGTGTCAGGCACCGTGCTGGGCGCTGGGCACCCCGCAATGGAGAGGGCAGACCCTGCTCCTGCCTCGGGGGGGCCTTGCATGTCACGGCGGGAGGCCGGTGGGGTCCCAGCTCACGTACATGGTGACAGTGTAGGCAGGTGCAGCCCTCGAACAGCAGCGCCGAGTGTCCATCACAGCCTGGGTTCCAGCCCCACTCACCTCCTTTGCAACATAGAGCGCACACAACCATTCGCAGTGGCCCTGGAAACACCAATCAACGGAGGACTCATAAATTCCGAGTGTGAAAAGGGCTATGAAAAAATAAAGCAGGGAGATGTGAGAGAGGCTGAAGATGGGCAGGCGGTTTGATAGGGTGCTCAGGGAGGACCTCCAGGGGAGGTGACCTTGGAGCTGCCACCAGCAGGAGGAGGAGGGAGCGGAGGCCGGAAGATCTGGAGGGAGACTGTCCAGGAAGAGGGGTCAGTAGGGGCAAAGGCCCAGAGTCAAGAACTAGCTGGCTTGTCTGAGGAAGACAGGGATGAGTGGAGGAACAGGTCTTCAAGCTGGGTTTTAAGGAGTGAGCAGAGTTTTTCCCGGGGCTCAGGAGCAGAGAGAGCGGAGTAGATGCGGGCCGGACGGTGAGGTGCAAGGCAGCAGACGGAGGTGATGCGGTCAGGGCTGCAGCAAGTAGTCACCGCAGAGGTGCCTCTCCCAGGGCTCCGAGGCCGAAGGATGGATGGGAGGAGGATGGAACAGGAACTTGGGTCCGCTGAGGGGCTGAGGAGGCGGACGAGGGCGGAGAAGCTTGGAAGGAAACATCTATATTTGTTGAACTGAATTCCACTGGCTGGAAGGACAGATCTGCTCCTCCTTGGCTAAGAGAAGGTGGGGGCTGGGGACACAGCCCCCACATGGAGTGTTTAGGCTGCGCACAGTGCACAGGGCAGCCTGGCAGAGGGTGAGTGGGGGGCTGATATCCAGCCCTACCTCTGCTCTGCCAAGCTTTGCGTCTTTAGCCCTGTGACAGTGTGGGGGTGTGTGTGTGTGTGTGGTCACATTTTGCTAACTGGTCAGCCCGAAGAGCGCCTTCCTAACATCAGTCTACCTACAGGGGTGCCTTTTTGAATCTGTCCATAGAGGGGGACTTATTTCTGATTTGCGCATAGGTGTCCCTTAGTATGGGCTGGAGGGGGGTTGGCCTAGGGGCCCCAGGTTCTAGTGCGGGCTCTGCTACAGTCCCTGCTGGATGCCTTGCATCAGTCACTGTCCCTCTCAGGAACCACAAACCTATAGACTTAGCTAGAAGCTCGCTAACCCAACCCCAACACTCCACAGAGGAGGGAATGAGCTCAGAAAGGGGCAGACTCCCCTGGGGTCACGCAGTGACACACGGCAGAGACGGGCACCTGGACTCTCGTCTCAGTGCTCTATCTTCTCTGCTCCTTGTCTGCCTGGGCCGCTTGCCTTGGAGACTTGGTGTTTCCTTGAGGAAAGGAGAGGAAAGGGGAGGGGGCAGGAAGGAGCGTGGAAATTCAGGGGGAGGAGGAGGAGGGAAGGCCAGGCCAGGCCAGGTTTTGGCTCCCTCGGGTGGGAGTCAGAAGGGGTCAGGGTGTCGCAAGCCTCCAGGCTCCCTGTGCCCCCTCCCCTGGGCCCCATGGGTTGTCATTTGTGGATGTTAATTATTCACGATGCTGGTGCTTTGCCTGGTTTTAATGCACTCTGATGGTGTTCTCTAGCTAATGGGGAAAATCAATAGGTTTTAATTCTCAGTGGCTGTGAAGCTTTGTCTGTCTCCTGTTTGGGTGACTGGGCCTGGCTCTTGGGCTTGGGGGTGGGGGTTGGACGCTCAGACCAAGTCTGTAGGGGTCTGAGACCCCACCTTTCTCTCTCTTACCCCTACCTTCTTCTGATTCCAGCCGGGGAGGAAAGATTAGGGACACTAGGCAGCTCCAAACTCTGCCCCAAGCATCTTGGCAGGTCTGAGTCCTTAAATCTCAGCCATTTATTTGCTCCCTGCTCCAAGACGGATGGTCCCTGTGCCAGACCCATGCGCCAGAAACATGCCAACTGAGGCAGCCCACCAGCTTGTGGGTGCTGGAGTTAGGCCTGCAATCCTTGGTTCCCGTGTTGGCAGTCTGGGGGAGCCTTCTCCTGCCTAGAACTCAGGGTCAGCCCCAGTCATCCTCCTGGGCTCAGGCCAGGCTCACACACCTGCCTAGGGCATGGGGGAAATCTGGTCCAGGCCTCACATTCCCTAAGAGACTTCAGTGTAAGCTTCTGATATGATTTATACGTGCAGTTAAATATTCAGGCATGACAATTTCCCTGAAGGGACTGAGGACCTGGAACATTCATGGGACATTAAGAGCATGTCTTTGTGTCCCATCTCAGACCACATCCTCCCCACAGCATCCCATGGGGTTCCCTGAGTCAATATCCTTTATGAATCCCGTAATTATCTTGTGAACGGAACGACTGTACCGCACCATATTTGTGTGTGTGTTAAAAGTGTTTATTAGGCAAGTGTAAACATTTAAGATACTCTTCGGTCTTCATAAGGCTGATTTTGGCATTTCTTTTTTTTTTTTT